TATTTGACTCACACGAATGTTTTGGATAGCTTCAACCGTTGCAGGGAAAAGTTGAATTTCATTCAGACCCAAAGCGGCTTTCTTAAACTTTTCAATCACCATGGAAACAGCAGCATACACTCCACCGGATTCTTTATGGACAGCCAGATGAGTCATATTGGGAGGCAGCTCCCTCCGCTTCTTGGCAACCATCGGAGTCACCTCACCACCAGGTGTTCTTCCAAAGGCATTGTAACATGTCCTGAAAGAACCTTTTCCAATCACCACACTTTCATCAACTTTGAAATGATACGGTGTTACCACCCATTCAGGTTTACCTTCTGCATTTCCTGTCAAAATGCATTTTTTCCCAACGGTGAAACCGTCTGTAGTCTCAGCAGGTGGAACAGGGCAAGCCATGGGAAGCTTTCGACCAAATACGGAGATATCAATAGCCTCTCTGAAATCAAAGGCCGGTACTAAGGAGGGCATGTCAGCCAGACCAAAAATGAGTAGTGAACAAGAGCGGTGAGCTTACCTGTCTGGTGAGGTGGTATCACATGAGTCATAGCTACAGGAGCCACATCACTCTGAGCACGGTGGGGAGATTTTCGTGGGGTGATGGGTGGCGGGAGTGTGTATGTACTATTCTTGGTTTTAAAATTAGAAGCCTTCTTTCGAGTGACTCGTGGTGAGGTGACTTTTGTTGAAGTTGAAGGTGTACACCTGGCTTTCTTGCTTGGCTGGAATATTTCGACACTCAAAGGCAGATCACCATCACTATCACTATCACTATCACTATCACCATAATCTGCTTCTTCATCTCCATCATCTAATAACATCTCCTCATAAGTCAAATGTTGAGATGCCTTTCTTTTAGCTTGTCGTTGAGGTTGTACTGGCTTACTGGTGGAAGGTCGAAGCCAAGGATTATTTTTGACATATTTGTCAGCCAGAAAAATTAGCTCGAGGCTAGGTTCTCCTTTAGTGTCATCAAGATATCTGGCAAAAACTTCATTGTTATGTAAGACCACAGGTGATTTCCGGCCACGGCCGGTTTTGGCCAGGTTGAAATACTCAGAGTTGTAAACTTTGGGTGCCTGAGGGTAAAGAGGAGAGTCAACCGAGTGGTCCCACAGGTTGAAGATGCCTTCCTTGGTGTCGTCCAAGAGTGTCAACGATGCCCTATCCACAGTGAAAGTTCCCCGAAGTAGACCATGAGCGAAAGAGCCGGTGTCGTATATCACCATCCATCCTACAGAGCATACTCGGCCAGTGTGAGTAGTGAAAGGTGGAGGTTTAGGTGCTGCTGGGTGACCATTAAACATGCGGTTGCTGCTAGCTTGTTTCTTGGCAGCAGCTCGCTTTGACTTGTCGCTTTGAAGTTGGTGAACATGAGTACCAGTGGAAGTCGAGGTACGGGCTGCAACAGCTGCTTTGGCATTGATGACCTTGAGATTGGCAGGGCGGGGTTGAGAAGCTTGGGTGGGTGCCTGCTGGGGGGGAGAAGGAACCTTTTTGTTTCGGTCCGCATTGATGTTTTCAAGGCAGGGTCCACATATTTTGTGTTCTCCTTGACGGAGAGTACTTTGACATAAGGGACAAGTAGGTCGGTTCATGATAGTGAAATATGAGTATCTGAGAGAAACCAAAGTCGAAGAAGAAGCTGATTGAAGAAGATTGAGGTCGATCAAAGAAGATTGAAGTCGATCGGAGAAGATTGAAGTCGATCGAAGAAGATTGAAGAAGATTGAAACTGATTCAAGAAGATTGAAGAAGATTGAAACCGATTCAAGAAGATTGAAGAAGATTGAAGAAGATTGAAACCGATTCAAGAATATTGAAGAAGATTGAAGAAGATCAAAGAGAATTGAAGAATACTAGGGAGCAATGAAGCCGATACAAGAATATTGAAGAAGGGTGAAGCCGATCCAAGAATATCAGAGACGATCAAAGAGGTTCAGTGTAGTGTAGAAGAGTGAAGACGATCAAATAAGGATGAAGAAGAGTGGAGACAATCAAATAAGTATGAAGAAGAGTGGAGACAATCAAAGAGGTTCAGTGTAGTGTAGGTTTGGTTGAACAAGTGGATGGGTGGAGACTATAACAAAAGTTGGAGGAATGACTAAGATGATCGGTGATGGTGTGTGGGTTGTGTGATTGGTTGAGAGGTAGAGGTAGAGAGGTACACTTTTCATCATCTAATGTGAAGTTTTCATTTTTGGGGTCTTTGTTTATGGTTTGTTAATTGTCGTTTTTTGATTATCGACATTTGTTTTTTGATTTTCGACTTTTGATTTTTTGATTTTTTGATTTTTGAATTTTGATGTCCTCTTTTGTGGTTTCCTGGTACTTTTTGTGTCAATGCGACAATGGGGTGACAAATGTTGAGTTTCAAGTTGTAAATCTACTGAAATTTGGGCCGTAACCTGGTCTGAAAGGGGTTTCTGCCATGACTTTTACTCCGGTACAGGGGTTTTTGCCCTGTATTTGAGTATTTTCTGTAGTTTTGTCTTTGATTTTTGAATTTCGCACCCGGGAATTGTGATTTTCGTTTTTTGATTTTTGCATTGTCACCTTGACACCTCTCGCATTCCGTACAATAGGGTACAGGAAGTAGCAAACGGTTACTTGATATCCTGGTACTCCAGTAATAACCAATGTCATAAGCCAAACATACTGCCAAGGGTACCTTTTGCACATGCACACCATCAAACTATTGGAGTCATCCAAATCTTGGTCTTCGGAGTCGGTGTCCATATCCATCGTGGATGGAGTAGGTGGGCGGTCACCAGGAATAATATCCTCACCCATTTGGGTTAAATCATTTGTATGGGAAAGATCCTCCATTTGATGATGGTTGAATTATTGAGGTGGTTGGTGTTCAACAAAAAAAGTTGATGATGCGAGTGGATGAGTTGAATTTGATATGAAAAATTGAATTAATGAGAAGGAGGGAGTGATCAAAAAATTCAATTGATATCTTTTTCAATCAAGATTGCATACAGGTTGTGTATACTTTGAGTGGGCGAAGGGCCTTTCTCACTTACAGGCCACCTAAGCCTAGGTGGTCTTCCTATTAAAGTTTGTCCACCTAGGCTTAGGTGGCCTATTCCTCCAGTCGATCGACTGGAGAAGCGGCCCCGGGACCGGTATGTACACTTGACCGGGCCCAGGGCCTCTCTCTCCAGTCGATCGACTGGAGGAATGGGCCACCTAAGCGTAGGTGGCCTGCCTCTGAAGGTTTGACCTCCTAGTGTATCTAATACACATAAGCTAGGTGGTCAGACCGTGTGAGGCAGACCACCTAGCCTTAGGTGGCATGCTTCTCCAGTCGATCGACTGGAGGACGGGGCACCGTGTCCTGGTGGACGCATTGAATTTTTCTCCAGTAGATCGACTGGAGAACAAGCGCTGGGACCGGGATAGACTGATTCCTCGGTACCCAGGCCATCCCTCCAGTCGATCTACTGGACGGAAGGGCCACCTAAGCCTAGGTGGCCCTAGGCATTGTTCTCCAGTCGATCGACTGGAGAACAATGGCCTGGGACCGGGATAGACTGATTCCTTGGTCCCAGGGCCATCCCTCCAGTCAATCGACTGGAGGGAAGGGCCACCCAAGCCTAGGTGGCCCTAGGCTGTGTTCTCCAGTCGATCGACTGGAGAACCAGCCCTGGGACCGGGATAAACTGCAGGCCCGGTCCCAGGGCCATCCCTCCAGTCGATCGACTGGAGGGAAGGACCACCTAGGCCTAGGTGGCCCTAGGCTGTGTCCTCCAGTCGATCGACTGGAGAACCGGCCCTGGGACCGGGATAGGCTGATAGCCCGGTCCCAGGGCCATCCCTCCAGTCGATTGACTGGAGGGAGGGACCACCTAAGCCTAGGTGGTCTCTCTATTAGAGTTTGACCACCTAGGCTTAGGTGGCTCTCTCCAGTCGATTGACTGGAGAGAAAGACAAGCCCTGGGACCGGGGCTTTGGTCTATTCCGGTCCCAGGGCTAGTTCTCCAGTCGATCGACTGGAGAACTATGCCTAAGGTGGCCTGCTTCTCCAGTCGATCGACTGGAGGAAGAGGCCACCTAGGCCTAGGTGATCTGCTTGTCAAACCTTGTTAGGCAGACCACCTAGGCTTAGGTGGCCTATTCCTCCAGTCAGGCTTAGGTGGCCTATTCCTCCAGTCGATCGACTGGAGAGGCAGGCCACCTAAGCCTAGGTGGCCTGTTTAACAAGGTTTGGCCACCTAGCAGGTGAATTACACTTAAGCTAGGTGGTCAAACCTTGAGAGGTAGACCCCTCAGGCTTAGGTGGCCTTCTCCAGTCGATCAACTGGAGGAGTGGCCCTGGGACCAGCAGAAAAGCACCGGTCCCAGGGCCACCTCTTCAGTCGATCGACTGGAGAAGGCCATTTAAGCCTAGGTGGTCTACCTCTCAAGGTCTCTGCATTGGAGATTGACCACCTAGGCCTAGGGGGTCCTTTTTTCCAGTCGATCGACTGGGGAAAAGGCCCAAGGACCGGCAGAGACGTCAAAGCACCGGTTCCAAGGCCCGACAGAGATCACCTAGCCTCAATGATGAGCATCATCATGGCCTCTAAGCTACAAATGATTTTGTGTGGTATCAATCACAAATAAAATTATGTCTTTCACATAAACCCCACATAGAACGGTGGACTATGCAGACCAAGAAACGGCAGTAATTAAAATTCCCATAACGTGTTTGATAAGTTGATAACCATGGTTGTGGTGATCCATGCAAATCTCGGCAATTTTTGTCCCCACAAGCGCCCCACATTGGCAAATCCATTTGTCTTTCCCCACCAACCACCCTCTTTTATTCAGGCAAAATGAACAGGGTGTTGATGCAGAAAATCAACCCATTAATCTCATTGAGCAAAAACTGGGTATAAAATTACCGGATGAAAGAATTCATAACAGCAAGGTAAGAGATGCTATTCCAACGGACTGGAAGCTTAGCCCAAAGATTGCATACTTGGTTCACATGCTTCAGAAGAAAAAATCACATGGTGGTGGGAAGAGTGTTATATACACTCAGTGGAAGAGCTTTATTGATTGGTGAGCTTTGTCAAAACCTAGCCCCATTATATCATCAAATAGCTGACTTCATTCCCAGGATCATCATGGCTTTTGACAACTCTGGCATCACATACCGTCAGCTGCATGGGGACCAGTCCACCTTTGAGCGTACTTCTCAACTCAATTCTTTCACCAAGGACCCAAATGTTGAAGCATTTGTAGTATCAATAGAGGCTGGTGGGGTAGGTTTGAACATGACATGTGCGGACGAGGTCTATTTGATGGTAAGTCAGGCTTTTACATTGGATCTGGGAACACTGATGGAGCAGTGGCGTATCTTTAGGATGCACATTGGAACCCTCAGGTAGTGCAACAAGCCGTGGACCGCCTTCACCGAATTGGTCAGGCCAAGCCTGTCAGAGTATTTCATGTAGTTACTGGACAGTCAATTGAGCAGCATCTTTACAATGTGAGTGTAACAACAAATTCCTGTGAGTGAATGTAGCCCTAACACCTAGCTCTCACTTGTTCCAGGTTCAGAAGAGAAAAGCTGCCCTGGCAAAAAGAGTGATTACATTAACTGTCCCTACAGAGGAATTGGAGAAGGCTGAAGCACTGCGTGTGGAGGAGTTTCCAACAGGGGATGTATCAGATTTGGGAGATCCCAATCAATGCTACCGCAATTAAGATCTAACATATGGGATGCTGGTTTCTGCAACCTTTTTGTAACTGTCTCTATCAAGTCTCTTGTTTCTCAAAAGATAAACCAATACACAAGCGGTTTTCCTGATAAAGGTTGCTTACCATAATAGCATAAATGAATTTTGGTTTGTAAGGTTTCAATTTGTGCATCTCAATTCAAAGAGCTCAATTTAAGAGAAATTCATTAAAGCATGTTTCAAAGTCTAGTATGTTGAGCTAGTGACAAATAAAGCGCCTACAAGAACAAATCAATTTGATTTTAATCACTAATTAAATACCACATCGGATTCACCTGGCTGTGGTGCAAAGGGAGTACCAGTCCAGTCATACTGTCTCAACCTTTCTAATACAAAATTGAAAATCTCCCAAACATTCGTAGTTCTCAAATCATCATAATCAAACTCCATGTCAGACATGACTTCGTCAACTACATCCGCAAACCCCTCAGGTGTCTTAGTCCATAATCTTTCTTGATCTGGATAATCCTCCTCAATGATCTGATCAACGTTATAACTGGGAACTCCTATCAAGTGATCTGTGCCAGCCAACTCGTCACCTGGGTTGTAATAGCAATAGTTAGCACTACATCCGGTTGGTAACCTAGAGCGGTTGTCTCTACGCCTTTGAAAATTGTTGGCATGGTCTTTGGAGGTGTCTAAAGCTTCTTGTATGGCGGGTACGTAGAGCTGGAGGAACAAGAGTCTAAAAGAAAGATGAGTTAGTACAAGAGCTACTCAAAGAAACACAAATCACAAACTCACCTTTGCATTGGATCATCAGGATCATAATCACCATCCGCAATCCTTTGAGCAATCTCATCTTTCAAGTGACCAGTCACTGCATTTTGCATCTTCTCCCAAGCAGATTCAATCTTAGTATTACTAGTAGAGGGAACATATCTATGGTACTGGAAACCGGGGGGTTCAGTGCCGTATTGCTGTCCAAAGTACATTTGATGGCCAGCAAGGTCGATGGTCTCAGTACCTCGGTCAGTGGTGAGTTTTTGAGGGATGCCTCCGTGTTTCTTGACAAGTTCAAGATACCATAAATCAACATGTCGTGGGTCACTGTTGGTGACATGAGCATGGAGACCCAAGAGCTTCCGAGACCAGCAGTCGATGAAACCGTAGATTCCAATTCCGTAAGGCATCAATTTGTCGTGTCCGTCAGAAGCCCAAACCTGGTTAGGACCACCCGCATAATACTGCCGCCTTTTCAGTTTGTGAGCCGCTCGGACTTTGACCATGTCAGGATTGATCACTTTCAGAATGGCCGATATAACATCACTAGCAGAAAAGAAAAAATGAAGAGAGAGGAAAAGTCAGCATAGGTTATCAGGGATGTGATGAAGTAATATATTAATCACCGATGAATATGCAAGTTATGATCAGCCATGAGCTTTCGCTTGATACTCTTGATACCCAGGACATGACCAAAATCTTCTTCCATTTGGTTAATCAATTGCACAAGCTCTTCGTAAGTAATTTTGTTGAGATCAAGATCATCTCGTTTGCGGTTGAGCTGAAGTCTCTTCTCATGACGAGCCAAGGTGGAACGGCTGATGACAATTTTGTTTTCATTCTTCATTGAGATGAGGGTTCTTTTTTGATTGTAACTTTTACCGTGTTTGTCTAACACAGCCTTCGTGACAGTCTCTTCATCATACTCCACTCGGTGTTTCAAACCCCATGCCTCAATACGTCGACGGATGGTACGAACACTGATCTTGATTTGATGACTTCTCCAGATGTTGTCGGATACCGATTGTGCTGTCCACTTGTTGTTATGAGCTTGTTCTAGAATAGGTTGTAAGATATCATCTGAGATTTCAATTCGTCCAGGCATGATAACAGTAGTTAGATGATGAAATGGAGAGATTGATGATTGATAGAATGGATTGGATAATATGTGTCAAAGTGACAAGTGAATGTGGTTTTTGGGTGGTATGAGGACGTTGCTGGGTGAGAATCGAATTGAAGAGGGAGAGGTAGGTTAAGAGTGATTATTTCTGCAAATTCTGATTAGGTTTTGTGTCTTCCTGGAGTAATGATTGTGTGATCGGTAGGTTTTGGCTGCTGAGGTTGTCCTGTGGTCCAGTTAGGTATTGGGTTTTGTTGTTTTATACATATGTGAAGTTTGACATGATGAAAATCGATTTCTTGAAATTTTCATGTAATATTTGTGCCAAAGTGCCAAGTCGGTGGTCGATATTTGAGTTGTGGTCTGGAAATTGTGAAAACTGGCAGAAAGATAGGTTTTATCCCCAATACAGGCGGTTTCAGACCAGTATTGGGGTTAAATCTGATGTTTATTCCAGTTTTATCAATTTCTGACCCGGGGATTCTGAAATTTCAATTTTTGAAAATTGAATTGTCACTTTGACACACCTCGCATTCCGTACTCAGCATTACTGAGTCCAAAGCTTTTCAAGCCAGTTTCTGAACCAAAGAATTCATAAGATTTGGAAATAAGTATACTTCGAATATGTATATGAAGAAAAAGATGAACTGCTTACAAAAAAGTGAGATAAGATCGGCATTGAAATTTGTATACGACTTTCCACCGGTCGGGACAAGAGAAATCACTGGTACACCTACTACACCTGTCCAAACTTCAAATGAATAGCTTCCGACTGTCACAGTTTTTCCTGTGCTTGAACCAGCAGGAGCTGCACCCCCTTTTGTGGTTAACCATATCTAAATACAACCAATGATCATCAAGAACAGGATGAACAAGATCGTGAAATAAATACACGCATTGGAAAGTCAAAGTACTTCACTCACCATGATCTCATGAGTTGCACATCCTCCCGATTGTCCTGAGCAACTGGCAGAAGAAGAGGTGAAGATATCCAAAGACTGTAGAAGCAAATAACGAGCATCAGATATCTTTTCATCTTGTACAATGATGAGAATAAAGTCTTACCACATCGGCGACTAAATTAGATGATGCTGCGCTCAAACTCCAGCTCCATGAAGTGGAGAATTTTTTCAAGCTTGATATCTTGACTGGTGTGCCAGCCCAACCCACATTAGAGTCTGATAAGGAGTTCATCAGCAGAGTTCAAAAATGGGACGAGTAGCAAGCAGTTAACAGCTTACAAGATTTCACCTGAGTATCCAAACTTGAGCTGCTCGAAGTGAAGTCGAACGTGGTAGACCAGCTGATTGTTCCTGCCGAGTATGACTTGCATTTAACACTTTGAGAACTAGAAGACAACGCCGAGCTGGCTGATCCGACATGGAAAGAAAGCTTGAAAACACTTCAGTTTGTAAACTGGCGATAAAGATTTTTGTTTGAAAATCGCAAGTAGTTCTTTCTGACCTCCCCAGACATTGTTATAAAGCGTAAGGCTATCACCAAGTACTTCACTACCGAATGTACTTTGTCCGGATGTCCAGCTCATATCTTTTGTGCATCCTTGCGCATTGACGTTTGGAATGAGGGAAGACCTATCACTGGCAAATAACAGAACCAATAGACAAGCAAGTTGGTACAGCATCTTTGGGCGTTTGTTGCTAGTATAGTCTTGAAATCTGATCAATGTGTGATCTCTTCTGGAAGAAGCAGCGAATTTTGTAATTAGATGGTTATATAAAATGTACAACAAAGGCACTGGAGCTACTGGACAAGGAGTTGGTGACCTTCAAGGATTCTTATACACAGAGAACAAAACTCTAGGTTTCTTCTCAAGTTCGAGACGAGCTTGAAAGGCATGTGCATAACAAAAAATTTCTAGATTGGAACTTCTGACATTAATATCTTGCACAAGATGAAACACTGACGGGCCTCATTCATGCTTTGATTCATTTCATTTTTATATGCACAAAGCAAAAAGGTTTGTGGATCCTTCTCGGAGTGCCTTTAGCCCCTGTAGCCAGCTTCATATGTCTCATGAAAGTCTTATCAATTCCGGCATAAAGCCATCGAAGAATCAAGGCATAACGCTCTCAGATATCTCGTTTCGTGGTGTTACTCGGAGATGGCATTCCGAGAAAATCGGGAACACATCATACAAATACGTGATTCTAGATGACCAAGGAGATTTCTACACCAATGAGCAAATCCTAGAAGATGACGACAATCTTAAACTATGAGTGAAGTTCAGCGTTGAAGTTCAAAATCCATGGGCTGACTAACTTAACTAAGTACCTCCTCGCGGGCGTCCTACGGAGCTTGCGGAGGAGGGACTTACGACTTATTCGTACTTCGCTGCATGATTAGATTGCCAAATTTCGGATTTTTGACTATTTGAGACTGAATCTGCATCACTGCATCCACCATCAACTCCTTAAAAAAACTGAATCGGGTAAAAAATTCTTGAACATCTTGTACATAGTCTCATTGAATCCAAACCAATGGTGAATGGTAGCTTCTTCCTTCAAACCGAAGAAGAAATAGTGTAACTTTTTTTGATACCGATTGGACAACTGCGGAGACGGCTGGACCCAAGAGAGGTCCATTTCGTTTTGACCATGGAAAGAGAGAGAGTGAATCAATGATCAGGAGAGAGAGAGATAGAGGAGAGAGAGATAACGATAATGGAAATCTTTCAACGTTGGGCTGGATAGCTCCAGCTTCAAACAGGGAGAGAGAAAATGTTCTGGTTCTGAACGCAATCCCATCAAAGTTGTCGAGATTATTTTGCGATGGCCACGACCGATCCACCTGCTTTTGATGATACGAGAAAGAAAACACTCCTTAGCTCAGCTGGGAATCATATTACAACTGAAAAGTCTGCGTCTAACTTCAATAACCGACGACCTACGGAGCTCCTTGCGGCTACGCCTGCGACTGCAGTTTCTAAGCAAACTCGGGCGAAAGTTGTACTTCCAGACTACATCTTGGCTTTATCCAATGAAGAACTGCGCAAGGTGATTGAGGACAATCATTTGAAGAAATATAATTGTCCAGCTAAAGATCTACAAGTTGAAGCAGTAATTGCCTTGGTCAGGGGCCACGACACATTTGTATTAGCTGGAACTGGCTGTGGAAAAACCCGAATTGCCGAGTTGTTCCTCGACCTCTTTGCCAAGGAGGCAAAGGCGAATATTATTGTTTTCAATCCACTAGATGCTTTGGGCGACAACCAGGTAAATAAAGCAAATCTCCACCATTTCTTTGAGCTTATAAATTTGTATATAATATTAATTGCATGTTCTGGTTGTATGAAGGTTGCCGAGAAAAAAAAATGGAAGATCAACGCGGTGAATTTGACAAAGGAAAGCTTTACGGATGATGTGGAAAAAGACATCATGGCAGGTGTATACTCTGTGATATATGTGGTGAGGAATAACTTCCGACTTCAGAAACTCTATTCTACACAAGCTGACGTGAAAACTACGTCAATTTTGAGCAAAGAGCCCGGAGATTTTTTTGAACAGCAAGCGTTTTGAGCGTATTTACTTCAGTGCAAAATTTCAAGACCGTCTGATTGCAAAGGTGCTAGATGAAGCACATATGATTTACTGGTGGGGGATGGTTCAGAGCGGACGAGCAAAACACAGTTCTGCATTCACGCGGCTACAGGATGGCGGCAGCTTTCGACCATCATACGGCGACCTTTGCCTCCGACTACTGGCGACAAATAAAATTCCTCTTTTATTAATGTCAGCGACTTGTGCACCAAGACCTTTTTCGGCGATTTTGAACAACTTGAGCATCCAGGAAGCTGATCTCAAGATTGTGCGAGGCGAGCTGAGTCGTTCAAACATCACTATACTTCGAATCCAAATGGACCACGGGTTACGGAAAGCAATGGACTTAAAACTTATGTATGCCAAGAAAGGAGAAGTCCCCGACATGGATTTGGTCAAGTCACTTATTTACTCATCGACCAGGGGTGCAACTTTTGACGTGATGAAGGCAGTTAATGAAGCCCGAGGAACACCATTAGGCGAGCACAATCCAGACAGTACCCTGATCCGAAGATATCATTCATGTATTGGAAAAAAAGAGAAACTGAGGGGAATTTCAGGTTATACAAATGATGAATTCCCTCTAATTTCGTGTACAAATGCTCTTGGCCTTGGACAAGATTGGCCTTCGGTGATGCAGGTAATTGTGATGGCCCGTACAGCCCTTCCCGAGCTGACTCAACTTTTTGGGCGATGTGGACGAGGGAACAGTCCAGGGCTAGCTATTCACTTTGTTGAAAGAATACGTACTGGTGGTTCAAATTCCGTGGAAGATGTCGATGATAGCAAAGAGATGACGGATGACCGGCTCATGGATGCGTATGCTTTCACCCCGATATGCCTACGAGTGGCACTATCACTGGGGAACACGTAAGTAGTCCAATGCCTGAATGGTGGTAAACTCAATCCGCTGATGTTGTTATTCAGAATTGGGACAGTTCCTTGTTGTGTAGATGATCCAAGAGTAATCGCTGAAAAGGAACGGGAAGTAGCCGCAGGTTTCCCAATATGCAAGTGCTCGAATTGTAGCCCAAAAGCGGCTGAGATGCTCATCTGCAACTTACCTAGATTGACAAAACAAAATTACAAGTTGGCTATGGAAGACGCTTTCAGTGTTGAGGGATTTTTAAAACCTGAAGAGATCGAGGCAAAGAAGAATGAAGTGATCAATGGTAATGGT